AAAATAACGTAAAATTCACTGTTAAATTGTCGTAAACCACTGTAAAATTAACGTAATTCACTATTCATTGTCTAAGTTAAAAATCCACTATTCACTGTCTGAATTTGAAATCCACTATTTACAGTAAGTATAATCCACTATTTACTGACTCGTGAGAATTATAAATCCACTCTTCGGCGATCTAAGATATACATGGAGATGAGTACACTATCAAATAGAGCCCTGTCCGATTCGCTTTCCTCAATTTTTAGACCCATCAATAGCTCTTACATAAACACTCCAAACTAAAGTTGTACGTGCCGTTTTGTTCAATCTCCTTCGTTTATGTCCATATTTTGTCACATAGAAACAAAAACAAAAACCACTAATACATAAGGATTGAGTAAACTTACACCATTAAATACAACAGTAACATGTATATTATCAACTCATACCGTGTTTTAACACCAGAACACATGAATTACTTAAACGTAAGATTTATTGAGTAACACCAACGTAAACCACTACTTACTGTTCCCTGAAAATTCGAAAACGACTATTTACCGTAAGCGCATTGACGTCCTGAAGAATAAATTCGTCGAACACATCCATCTTATACGTAAGCGTTAGGTTGTGTCCATTGATCATAGCGCATCCACTCCAATTGCAGCCTCTGCTTCACCATATCCATGGGAGTAAGCACCGCATCACTAGCAACAGTGGCACAAACCCCAGAAGTTGCGTGAGCCGCGTGATTGTCCAGATTGTCGTCGGAGAATCTCTTCTTACAGAACTCATAAACAAAGAACTAGACAGCATGTGCGGGCCCGGCGCCGAGAGCCATGGCTCCGATCCCGATGTAGAATCCCTTCGGGCGGCGCCAAAAACTTGATACGCGTTTTCCTCACGTATAAATTACTGCAAGTATACAGTATCGCATTTTGCAGAACAGTGGTTCCGTATATCGATCCACAGGGACCTTGTAGATTCACATGCTGAGTAGTGTAATTATATTATCGTGATATTATCTAGCTGATCGTAGATATTTGGAATTGTGAAACCCTAATTAATAAGCATGCAAGATCGTAAACATGCAAATATAGAATGTACGTAAATAAAGTAATGACAACTCAACGCGGGGGGACTTCGATTTAAAAGGGACTTCTAGGGCCAAAACGATCTACGAATCCGTTATCTAAAATCACATTCCTATTCGTTAACCCAGACGCTAATGTACTCTAACCCCCGTCTCCAGTGTAGTTAGAGTCTACCCACAGGTCCGACGGCTCCCTTCATAACCTGCTATTAAGAGAGCATTTAGGTCAAGTCCTTAAGGGCTACCCGAAGTGCATCACGTCTCCGTTTCCACACTCCGAGCTATGTTTTCCTAACTTCAAACAAGAAATCCTCTCTCGAGTTCATTCCTATTTAATATCAATCCGAGAGCTGATCAAACAACCAGAAGCATTTAATACAGGAAAACATAAACAAAATCAAAACACGACAAATAGATAACAGAAATGACGATCGAAATCAATATATACAAGGCTTCATTGCCCTAGAAGAAAATGTTCTTAGTTCATAACAAACATAGTATCAAAAGAATGTACAAAGGAAATGAAGAACAAAACGTAAAGAAATTGCGTAAGAAAAACCCAAGTCGGAACCCCCGTTGATGATTCCCGCGAAGAACTGTCGAAAACCGTAAAAAGTCGAAGAAGAAGTGAAGAGTGAAAGGGCCTTTCTATTTATAGTGAAATGCAAATCTTCCTCAAGAAGCTTTGCAAAATAAAATATCTTCCTCAAAAGGCGTGCCCAGATCGCGATCTGGATCTTGACCCATTTCAGCTCTGTCGGACCGCCCAGATCGCGATCCGACTTTCTGGATCGCGATCTGGATTTGACCCCTATTTCTTCTCTGTCAGCACCCCCAGATCGCGATCCGGAATGCTGGATCGCAATCTGGGTCTTGATCCATTTTCGTACTGTGACAACCCCCAGATCGCGATCCGGAATGCTAGATCGCGATCTGGGTCTTCTTGGCCCCAAAATTGGCTTGAAAATTCGGTTTCGCTTTCAAAAGGCTTCGACTCGGCAAAAATACCTAATAAAAACCTGAAAAGGAAATAAAACAAGAAACGCAATAATATATATATATATATATATATATATATATATATATATATATATATATATATATATATATATATATATATATACAGAGAGAGAGAGAAAAAAAAATATATATATATATATATATATATATATATATATATATATATATATATATATATATATATATATATATATATATATATATATATATATATATATATAACGGTTTGTTTGAGCCATTTTCCACTATATTCTTTTACCATTTTCAGTCAATTTTACTTGGGAAACTTTGGTACTTATATTTTTTTCTCCAAACATCTAATTGCTTAGATTTTTTTAATTTTCTGAATAAAACCTTTTATTTTTGTCTTTTTGAGTTTCTTCATTTTTTTCCTTAAATGTCTTCCGGTAGTTTAGACATCCTGAGATTACAAACATCTTTACAATCCTATAATTGTTGAGAATTTGAATTACCGGAAGACATTTAAGAAAAAAATTAAGAAATTAAAAATGAAAAAATAAAAGGTTTTATTCAGAAACTAAAAAAAGAAATCTAAGCAATTAGATGTTTTGGATAAAAAAATAAAAATACCGAAATTTCCAAGTAAACAAACCCTTATATTTATAGGCTTAGCAGGGGTATTTTCGTTAGATTTTGGAGAAAATGTAAGAGCATGGGGGGTATTTATGTGTGGTACATGGTATATGATACAAAGTCCAAAGTACATGGGTGTTTTTTTATTTAACCCTAAAATATAACAGATTATATTACAGAATTACCAAATATATCATAAAATGGTATATATTCCGGAAAACAATCGGAATATATTCAGAACTAAAATCGGATCGAAAATTGGTACGTACCCAAAAAAATCGGAAAAGTCGACAACCGAAAATTTAAAATTCGGTGAAAATTACGATTCTAAATTCGAATATTTTCGAACCGGAATCGGCGGGATTCGAAGATTCCGTTCATATTTTCACCCCTAATGGAACGGAATAATTCCCATGGATTCTTATCACCGGGGTGCCTAAATTGCCAATTGAATCCTTGTAAATCGTAACATTGAATTTGGAGTAAACATATACCGGATTTGGATTGATCCATGTTGATACATTGTTTTCTTCAATAGATCTAAGATGGAGGAGATAACATGAATTTAAACAGATCCGACACAGTGGCGGATCGAGGATGAAATATTCAGGGTATGTCGCTTGCGAGTCCAGGAATTTACTATTAAATGGGCTTAAACTTTCGGTGGTTCGGGGGCAGCGCCTTGAAAAACAAAATTCGAACCTTTTGTTTTGTTGGATAAATTAGGAGAACAAAAATTTTAGGACTTTTTTTGTATATTTTGAATGTTGGGTGGACGAAATAATGATATAGATTAATATAATTGAAGAAATAGTAAAGAGACCTGTTTTTGGTAAAGGTGTTAAAATACATGACAAAATGCACTTCACGTCCCACAAATTTCCCATTTTCGCACTTTTCCCTCTAAAAATTCAAAAACTAGATAATCCTCCTTCAGAATATTATTTTGGCTGCACTTTGCCCCATAAGTCAATTTTTGGTGGGCATTGTGCAACAAAAATAACATTTTAAAGGGACAATGTGCAAAAAGATAATGTTTTTAAGGGGTAACGTGCAACAAAACCAACATATAAAGAGGCAATGTGCACAAAAATACTCAAATGCCGATGAATAATCCATCAAAATTTTGCTATCGGGGCAATGTGCAACAAGAATAACAATTTGAAGGGGACATTCACTTTTTATTTTTTTTAGAATTAAAGTTCAAATTTTAGAAATTTTTAGGGGGTGATGTCCAATTTGCCCTAAAAATAATTGAGGGTAAAAAATGAAGCAAAAATTTTCACTTACTAGAGTTGAACTCATGACCTCTCCAAATTGTTTGGGCATCTTTACCACTAAAGCAAATTTATTTTTAAAATTTAGGGTGGTCCATGGCATACATGGTCACTCCCTAAATCCACCCTTGATTCGGCATGGATTTACACATGGTCTAAGGCTCCACATTTCGGACACAATTAAACGAAGTTGCCAGACAACATACATGAAAATTAGCTCAAGAATTCCAAGATTAATGGTCCTTATAGCTAATAACTGTGGCAATTTGATATAGGTCCTCTTATAAGAGACTTAATAGGTATAAATTCAATTAATAACTCTTAATTTTCAGTAAATATATTGGTATTATTATGTCAAAAATATCCCTAACAATATATGTAAATAAAAATCCCAAATTACTAGCCTACTTTGTATAACTTTTAATCCTCATTTTTCCCTCCAAAAGATACGTAATCAATACTAGTATTCACCATTCCCAAACATTTAATTGATTTCAGAAACAAAGCCCTAGATAAAATTTGCTTCGTCCTATCTTGTCATAGCTAAGAATCCTTCGCAGTTTGCAGTTTTGAAAACTTTGTTTGTAATTGCTTAGCACTTGCCTTGCCATAGTTAAGAATCGTTGGCAGTTTGCAGTTTTGAAATCTATGTTCGCAATTTTTTTAGGCATTTCCCTCTATGTCATAACTAAGAATCGTTTGCAATTTACAACTTGGAAATCTCTATTCGTAATTGTTTTGCCCCTGTCCTACCATGGCTAACAATCATTCGCGGTTTATCATTAGGGGTACTTATGTCTATTTATCATTAGTTTATTTATTTCATATTATTTTTTTGGGTGATAGGATTTATTAGTTTATATTCATCTAGTAAATAGGACCTCTAGTCAATTTCCCTTAGGAATTTGGATCTTCAAATATGAAATAATTTCAGCAAGAGTTCCTAATCATATATAAATAATAAATAAATAAGTAAAAATCATAAATTGTATTAACCTATGTTGTAAAGTATAAGACAATAAGACAAGGAGTAAGAGAACATTCATTCATTTTGATTTCTTCATAACTAAAATAGCTAATAAAATGTTTTAGCTTCATAACTATGTAACATGATAACGGCGGCTGCATACCATTAGCAAGTAACATCAAAATCTTCACAATGTCACAATACAAATCTGTAGAATGCTTGAGCTGGTTAATATGTAGAGATGGAATACATGATACAACAGCTGATACAGTATATAAAAACGAAATTGCACTCCAAATTAAGGAACATGATTGATTATCTGGCGAAATTTACGGGCGCCTCCAAACTAGCGACCAAAATGCTGAGATCGATGTCTTTATCTTCAAACTTCTTGATAAATGGGTGGCTCTGCGAATTACACTATAGTTGTTAGTTAAAGATTCGTGAAAGTGTGTAAAGGACAAGTTATGTTGAACTAAACTAACCAGTAGTTCCAAAGACGAAGATCTGTCTCTAGGATCCTTTTGTATGCTGCACCAGAAAATGAATCGAACTAAATTAACTTATTTGATAGGAAAACCACAAAATAAAGGATTATCGGCAAGTAGGGATATTTAGAATACACGCATGAAAGAGAGAATAATTCGTAATTGTGAGCCGTAACAGAAATTGGCCGTCATCAACTGAATTCTCTGACACCAATAAGTTCTCACTAATTACTTTTATGTTTTTACATATTTCATGTTTCCATATTTCAAAACAAGCCCATGTTTTAAGACACATCGGGAATTTAAAATAAAGATTCAGCAAAAGAAAACAATGCTCTCTAGCATGAAAAGAATACTGCGAAATTCTTACCAGGCTGAAACGAATGAACAGAATTCAGGAGAAAATTGATCTGCTGGAGCAGAAGGCGGTGGACTTCCAACAATTGCCTGCAAAAGCTCGTAAAAGCTTGGCCCGTTTTGTTGATCTTCAGCTTTGGTGTAAGGAAAATGCCCAATTGCACACTCAAGAATCACCATGCCCAGACTCCATATGTCGCTTTTATTGTCATAGGTGCTTCCACTGATTCTTTCAGGCTAAATAAAAAAAATTCAGAGCGGGAATTTTGCAGTTAGGCATCAGTCTTATCCTATGCTTTTGTTGCATGATTTTTCACAAATGGACCAGGAAAAAAGAAAGACGGGGTTCCTTTAACGGAACGAAGACACTCACTGCCATGTAATTGTAAGTCCCAACAAATGTGTCCCTTTGGCCCATAGAGCTAGCAAGCATAGCACTAACACCAAAATCCGTAATTTTCACTTCCCCTTTGTGATTCACTAGCAGGTTCGAAGGCTTTATGTCTCTATGTATAACATGTCTCTCGTGATGCAAGTAAACGAGGCCTTGCAAAACCTGAAGTTAAAAAAGTACAATGCATTCAAACCTGAAGGGAAGCGAAACTATATATATAACATTGACACATTGTACGGCAAGTAAATGACGAACCTGTTTGCAAAGAACAGCAAGATATGGTTCAAGGATTGTCTTTACTTGTCTGATTATATCAACTAGTGATCCACGATCCATGTATTCAAACACAAGAGATATAGCTCCATTGTGATAGAATGAGTGATAGCACACAACAACATTTTCACATTGTGATGCTTGATTTATTTTAAGCTCCTGAACGATTTGTTTGCGAATCTCTTCTTGTATATTCATCTGGATAACCTGTGCAAATACATTATCCTTCAATTAAAATTTATAAAAGAAGAGCAACTACCAGTATCAGAGTCAATATAGAAGTAAAATCTAGAGCAAAATGGGCATGAAATTAAGATTTTCCGAAAAACGAAAAAAAGAAAATTATTTGACTTATATGGTTACTGAATTATAAAATGACTTGATATATTTATCAATGACTCTTTTAGGGTGAAAATCCACATCTATTTCTTTTGCAACTGAGCTCTATTCCAATCTAATTGGAGAAAAACAAATCAGTGATCTCCGTTTGTAATGGCACTTTACTCCCACTAAGATCATTTCCACGATCCAATTTTACCGGAAAGCTCTTTATCACACATCCGCATATACTTTTCTATTATTTCTCGTTCGAAAGCTAAATGAGAAAAAAACTGCAGAATTTACTTTTGTTATTACAAGTCATAGACACACCATAAATTATGGTACTTAACATTACTTGTACTACGTCCAAGGGGAAAACTATTTTTAATCGGACGGGGCAAAATTCATATAAATAAATAAGTTTTAGAAGGTTAATTGCCAAAATGCTCAAAATACAGTAACTCGAGTAATTATGTTATCAAAAGAATACTAAAGCTTATATTCTGCATATAACAAGTAAAATGAATAAATTCAGTTTGACGTAGATAATGATTGTGCACTAACCTTCAAGGCAAACAAGGTTCCGACCCATTTATGGCGAACAAGTTGGACGACACCACCGCTTCCCTTTCCGATGACTTTGATTGTCTCAAGATCCTCCAACGAGAATTGAAGATCAATCTCCTTTGTTTCTGATGGCTATCCAAAAATCAAATTTCAGTTACACCACTCTCAAGGGACTTATAATTTAAACATTGAACAACTCATATATAATATCAGCATTCATACCACCAAAATGTTTATATACAACAAGAGATTGCAGTCTATTTTCTGTCATTTGTAGTCTCTGATTTCACAAATCCAAAACTAATGCTATTTTCTAAGCCCGAGATTGGACCGCTGTAGAATAAAAACCGAACTTACAACAAGGCCTAAATTCTTAAAGAACATCTATTAGTATAAGACCATTGCCCCATACTTTTAGTAGAATCCGACTTAAAATCCAAGAAACTCGAGAGTCCAAAAAACTTTCTTTGGCTTCCAGAGAAATGCAACTGGTAAAATTGTCAGGACAAGTGCTATAAACAATATAAGTCGGTTATCCAAAACTAGTGCCACAAACTGTTGAGTACAAGTTGTATCACTGTATAAAAATTTTGGCCGATTTTTTGTCTTTGTAATCTTATAGTGTCTTGAACTGAAATTGGGTGTAAAAACGGGACTCCATCTAGAGTAGGGGTACAATGTAAATATAAACATAAAAAATGCCAGCACTTGACATCAAGTAGGTGCATAACAGAAGAAATACACACATAGTAATCTATACAAGAAAAAATCTAGACAAAGTACTGAAACCCTGATGCAGACATCTTAGTTTATTGGGGCGTGAACTAAAAGAACTATGTTACACTACATTGACAGATAAGTTAAGGATCAATTACATATAAGACGATAAAACCACATCTTTCTATGAATCAACAATGAAAAGTTCGGTAGGAATTGGGTAAATTGTGCTCGTATAAGCATTTGATAAACTGGGAGCGAGTAGAGTTATTAATTAGGATACACTTGTTTCCATGTGAAAGCCGTTGAAGTGGAGTAAAAGACCTTGTACCGTTGAAATGGTTAGCAGGACTAATTAGACTTCGCAAAGAAGGTCGAATTGTTTTCAGACAGAAAAAAGAATTCAAAACCTTATCCGTTCAAGTTTCGTCGTTAACGAAACTGCTAAGTAGGAAATGCAATTTTTTACATACAGTAACATTGCCACTATTCACGGAAGATCAGCAAAAAAACTCGATTTAACTAATCATTAACAAAACTGCAATAGGCATTTTCCATCCCTGCCATTGTAGATATGAATCTTGAATTATCGAATCAGTCAACAGAACTGGAATGGGTAATCATTAAAGTCAATTCGTTTCAATTGAATCCAATTTTCAAATTTTCTATAGCACTTTCAGCTTATCATTTCAGAAAAAAAAAAAAAAAAAAAAAAAAAAAAAAAAAAAAAAAAAAACAAAGAAAAGTACAAAAACTCACAAGGGATTCATTGTCGTCGGAAATCAATCGGAGGCCTTTCTGATTCAAAAGTAAATCGCCGTCGTGAAAGGTCCCACTCGCCGTCCTGCATCATAAAAAAATCAACAAAAATAATTCATGGGCGGCGGTGAATTTGAAAACAGAAAATTGGAAAAGAAAAATGTTGAATCGGTAAATACAAGAAGGTGGAAATGGGGGATTTTTGAGCTGGGACGGAGAGTTTCAATTCCTTGAGAGGTTTCTTGATCTTCATGATTTGTTCTTCTTGTGGGCGAGCGAGTAGAAGAAATTCTAGGGTTCCACCGTTGAGTGTGGAAAGTTTAAATCGAATTTGAAATGGGAATGACCGCCAAACTGTGTACTCACTCGGTTACTCCTCTATTTGAGTAAGGGCACTTTTGGTTTGCTTTATTAAACTGGATGGGATTCATTGTACCTGTTTGTACAACATTTGGTTTGGTTGTTCGACCAAATGTTGATAAGTGGGCCCACCATTATTATCACCCAATTGAATTATTATTTGTTCACCCAAGCTTGGCTTGACAACTTATCACTAAAATAATTCATCAGCTGGTACCGTATGTAATGTCGAAATTGCCCTTATAACATGCAACAATTACAAAATTATTAGGTATAAATAGCAATTTTCTTCTAAATCCTCATTTTCATCTTGAGCTCTAATCTTACCAGGTGAGAAGAACTTCATTCAAAAAGTGATAAGGCGGGTACTCTTCATGAATTGCTATTTACTCGTAAAATTCAATTCTTGTACTTTATTCTCGTTCTTGAAGTCGACCATTTGTGATTTCAACGGAAAACAGAGATGCCCATCACTTGATTTGCCCATATGCTTCTTCTTTTCCTTTTAATTTTAATTTTTTTTCTTAAATGGTTCTCATTAGACCATCTCCAATGGAGATGGAGGTGGGTAGAGGTGAGGAGACAAAACCACCTCCAATGAAGGTAGGTAATGGAACGATGGGTGTGGGTTGAGTATGGGTGGAGAGAACGGAGAGGAGAGTTTGCCTCGAGTTGCCCCCTTCCAACTCACTTGCAGGAAGGGGGCTTGATATTAAAGTCTTCCTTTTAGGAGAAGAAATAATAAAAAATAAGAGTCAGCCAAAAGTGGAGGATACCCTAGGAAAAACAAAGGAAAAGATTTTGGAAAAAGAAATTACGTATAGGAATAAACTTATTATGACAAATTCCAAAAAACCCTATGACGTTGGTCATGATGACTCTACAGTTCTAGCCACTTCAGTTGTAGAACCCTTCTTAAATATCATGCATGTCGACCTTCCCCCTCCCACATTACCCTCACCATCCTCTTCACATTCTGAGCCTTGTTTTCAAGAAAATACCCATGGCATCACCACCGGAGAACCAGACGCTACAAAACCACTCATCACCGGAAAGTTCCCCGATCAGACCCACCACTCCCGTCACTCTTCAACTGCTACCAATGGACCCGGTCTATCCACCCATGAACCCTCCGGCGAACAACCTCTTATCCAATGGGCATCTGAACAATCAACAGATGAATGCATCACTCCCCACCCAAGCCTTATCGACACCCCACCAGAACTGCTCCCTGACACCACCCCAACACCAGATCCCTCCCCGCCCAACCAACTCGATGATCTCCCCTTCTCACCGGGTTTTCAACCGGTTTTTGAATTCGTTGCCACCCCCAAGAACTCCCCCTCGTCCATTTCTGAACCGACCTGTTATTCCAGATACAACAAGTCCCTCACCTTCGGTAGCGATTCAGAGAAACCGCCTGGTAGTCCTGAATCCGCACCAATATATAATCCAATCCTACCACACCAACCCTCACCTTTTTGTCAGCCGTCCCCTAGCCCATCAGGTTCTCATAGAAGTAGGGCAAGAGCGCGAGGTTATGATCCGAGGGAGAGAATACCAGTACCGTCTAACACTGTTAGCTCTCAATCCACCAAACGATCCTCACCTAGTATTGAACCCATTGACATCCTCAAACGGAGGTGTCAATCTAATGCCCAACACTCTGAACGGAGTCTTGCCCCAACTCCCACCCCCATCTCCATTCCAGATGAAAATCTTGTCTTGGAACTATAGGGGGGCAAACCGCCCAGATTTTCGAAATGCTGTTATGGACCTTCTCGGACGCTATAACCCACAATTTTTTATAGTCCTGGACACAAAAGCTGTTCCAGAACGGTCTGTTGCTATTATCCGTAACATCGGCTTTACTGACTATGTTATTGTCTCGGCTGTTAACAATGCAGGAGGGATTTGGGTGATGTGGAGGAATGATCAAGTCTCACTGTCACAAATACAGGTTTCTAATCGCACTATTCACATGGTGGCAAATCTAAACCCTGGATCTCCCCCGTTCTTTCTTTCGGCTGTTTACAACTACCCACAGCCTAGTCTCCAATACCAGGTATGTGATGAACTTACCTCTATCTCCCAACATATTAATCTTAACTGGCTTGTCATTGTTGACTTTAATAACATTCTAGAGGAAAATGAAAAAATTGGCGGCAATAAACCCTCCCTTCACAGAATGCAAAATTTTAGAGATTGTATAGCCAATTGCGGGCTTTTAGACCTGGGTTTTTCTGGCCATCCTTTTACTTGGACAAACCGAAGATTTGGCAAGAATTTTATATGTGAACGCTTAGATAGAGCCCTTATCAACAACTGTTGGAACCTCACATACCCTAACTCTAAACTTTATCATCTCTCCTCTAGCTCCTCGGATCATTCCCCTATCCTGCTTGATACACATGATACCACATCTAAACCCAAAAGATCCTTTAGATACGAAATTGCTTGGTCCCACCATAACTCTTTTATTCATCTTGTTAAGGAGGTATGGAGCCATAATTTTAATAACTCGTCTTGCCCTTTCAAACCCTATTACCAAAAAATCCTATATAAAGCTAGATGGTGGAAAACCAACGTTTATGGCAATCTCCAACAGAATATTGACGCTACCATTTCCAAAATCGATAAATGCTCTCGTGATCTTCAAATTGCTTATTTTGATCTGTTATTTAATGAGCTGAATCTTCTACGTCTGCATCATCAGTCTCTTCTTAAACAAAAAGAAATCTATTGGCGCCAAAGATCTCGAATTCAATGGCTCCAAGATGGAGATAATAATACAAAATTATTTCATGCTTTTGCTTCTAATCGAAAATTTTATTCAAAGTTTAAAACTGGAGAATAATGAATGGGTTTTTGATCCCCAGGACATTAAATCAGTTTTTACGTCTTTTTTTACTTCCCTCTATACCTCCAATAACCCTAGTATACGTACTTTCCATAATATTAATTGCGGCAAAATCTCCGACACCATCCATGAACCTCTATCTAAAACCATTTCGGTAGAAGAGATTCAAGCTGCATTATCTAGAATTGGATCTGATAAAGCCCCGGGTCCTGACGCACTAAATGGGCATTTTTATAAAACCTATTGGGAGATTATTGGAACATCTGTTAACAACACGATTATAAAAGTTTTCGACTCTAACCATATTCCGCAATTTATAAACAATACTAAAATTGTTTTGATTCCGAAAGTTACTAACCCCTATTTGGTTAATCATTTTCGCCCCATAAGTCTTTGTAATGTCTTATATAAAATCATTTCCAATATCCTTGTAAATCGTATCCGACCTCATCTCAATGATCTTATATCTCCTTTTCAAAATGCTTTTATCCCCAGAAGACATATTGGCGATAATGTTATCATGGCACATGAACTTCTCCATTCTATGAAAAGACAAAAATCGAAAACTTCTTATATGGCCCTCAAAATCGACCTTGAGAAAGCCTATGACAAAATTGAATGGAAATTCATACGAATGGTCCTCACAAAAGTTAATTTCCCGAAGAAAATGATAGAATGGATTATGGCATGCATTGAATCTGTCTCGTTTTGTTTATCTATTAATGGGTCCATGTCTAGCTATTGGAAACCACAACGTGGTATTCGACAAGGTGATCCGTTATCCCCATATATTTTCATCTTGTGTCTTAATTTCCTCGTTTTAGCATTTCTGGAAGGTCATAAATCTGCCAAATTTGATGCCTTTCAAATAAAAAAAAATGGTCCTTCTGTTCCTATCCTTTGCTTTGCTGATGATTGCATTATTTTCTCTCAAACCAATGCCAAATCTGTTGAATTCATCCATGATACACTCTCTACTTTCGCTGACGAATCAGGATTAAATATTTGTTGGAATAAATCGAAAGTCTTTTTCTCAAAAAATACCCCTTGCTCTCTTCAAAGAAACATTTGCCAATTTCTTCAAATCAAACCAGGTAATACTGGGGAAAAGTACCTTGGCCTCCCTCTAATTTTTGACCAAATCACAAAAACCACCTTCTACGATATCATTCTTAAAACCCAAACCAGAATCTCCAACTGGTACAATAAATTTCTCTCGTATGCCAGAAGATCGACGCTCGTCCAACATGTCTTAAATACCATTCCTAATTACTCCATGGGATCTTTCAAGATTCCAGAATCTACCATTAACCAAGTGGAGGCACTGGCAAAAAAATTCCTCTGGAATGCCAGCCCCAATACAAACAAGAAAAGTCCTATTAACTGGAAAACGGTGTGTCAACCAAAAGCTTTAGGAGGTCTTGGCATAAAAAACCTTCACTGTCTCAATAAAGCTTTTATTATGAAAATTGGATGGGGAGTTCTTGTTGATTCATCCTCATTAATCTCTAAAATCCTACAAAACAAGTATTTCCCCTCTAAAATCTTTTTCCATGCTGCCAAACCTAAACCCTATCACAGCATCTTATGGAAAAACATATATAAAACCTTAAATGATCTTAGATCTTGTTGTTTTTGGATAGTTGTTGGTGGAGATAAAATTAATTTTTGGTATGATAAATGGATTGATAATCTAATCATTGCAGACTACGTCAACCATATCCCTAATGATATGAAACAGTACAAAGTTTCGCATTTCATTAACAATCAAACTAAATCGTGGGATTTGTCTAAGATCCTCCATCTTATCCCTACTTTTATTAAAAATAAAATCCTTGCTGTCCACATTCCTTTACATAGCATTTCTGATACCATCAGATGGGCCCATACGAAAAATGGTGAATTTTCTCTGAAGAGTGCATATAATTGGCTTATGTTTTCCAAATTCTCTAGTCAACTTCCTACTCTTCCTCGGAACTCCATTTGGAAGCTGAAAACTAGTCATCGAATAAAATTTTTCTTATGGCAACTTGCTAATAACTGTCTCCCTACTGCTGACTTCCTCTATAAACGAAAATGTCTTGAGTCCAATATATGCTCTTTATGTCTGCAAGAACCCGAAACATCTTCCCACATTTTCTC